AATATCTGTACAGTTACGTCTAAGGCGTAAATATTGGCCAATGGGAATCCCCTTCTTCTGGGGGACTGGGTGATGACTCTTCCAGTTTAAGAGGCTGTTGGTAGCCGTACTTTTCCTAAATAGATTACTTTTAATTATCCCATTTGAATTAGGGATCAGAGTAAGGTCCAGAAACGTCAAATTGGGGGTTCCTACTTCAGTGGTGAATCTGAGGTTCAGATCATTAAGGTTCAACAGCTGTACAAAAGCTGTGAACTGTTCAAGTGTGCCTGTCCATATAATCATAATGTCATCAATGTATCTCTTCCAGTAGTGGATACATTGAACTAGGTGATCTTGTGGATCGGCAAACACTATTTTTTCCTCCCACCATCCCAGGTGCAGATTGGCATATGAGGGCGCACAAGATGTCCCCATAGCCGTTCCCTGCACCTGGTGATAGTATACACCATCGAACAGAAAAAAGTTGTGTGTCAGAATGAACTTAAGTAATTGTACTGTAAAATCACTATGTTCATACAGATGTGTGCCTCTTTTACGTAAGAAATAGCTTGTGTGTTCTAATCCTAAAGAGTGGGGGATAGAACTATATAAGGACTCCACATCCAGACTGCATAGTATGGAATGTGGAGGCATCCGTATTTTAGTTAATTCAGCTAGAGTCTGTTTGGTATCTCTCAAATATGATGGAAGTTGGGTGACCAGTGGTTTCAAAATTTGGTCAATATATATACTTGCATTTTGGGTTAAGTTGTTATTACCAGAGACAATTGGCCTTCCTGTTAAGATATTATATTGTTTGTGTATTTTGGGGAGGCTGTAGAAGGTAGAAATACGTGGGCTATCACCTAGAATAAATTCAAATTCATTTTTAGAAATCAGTTTTAATTGGAGTCCTTTTTCTAAGATTGTTTTCAATTCTTGCTGAAACTTCTTAGTCGGGTCATGTTGAATTATTTTATAAGTATTTACATCAGTCAATATTTTTTTAGTCATATTCACGTAGTCAGTGGTATCCATGATAACCACATTGCCTCCTTTATCGGAGGGTTTGATAGTAATTTCTTTGTTGTCTCTTAAGGAGTCCAGGGCCCCCACTTCTGCTGTAGTGAGGTTTGAGTTAGATTTATAGTCCAGATCCGATACCTTAATATTTTCGATCTCATTGCATACTAACTCAACAAAGGTCTCAATGTATTTTGAGTCTCCAAGTTTGGGACAATATCGACTTTTTTTCTTTAGACTAGTTAAAGGATGTGGAGCTTGTTTTCCACATTCATTTTCCTCTAAAAGTTCAACTAGCAGCATGGTCATTTTATAGTCTTTAGGGTCTAATCCCAGCATTTTAGCTTTTTTGTCCTCAGTGAGGAGATGGTTTTTATGTAGCAAAAGTTTACGGGCGAAAAGATGAATATCTTTCACCCAAGTAAATTTGTCAAGGCGTGGGGTGGGTATAAATGATAGGCCCTTATTAAGTAGATCCAGTTCTGGCTGTGTTAACTTATACTTAGATAAGTTAATCACTTGATTTCTATTTAGTATTGACTCTTTCGATTGTACTGTTTCTTGGATCTTGATCTTAGTCGGGGGCGTTCTTCCCCCTGTTTCTCTAAAAAAGTGACCCCTTTTTTGAGAATTCCCCCACTTTGTTCCTCTCCAGTAGAGGTGGAAGCTTGAGAGTCAGGATCAGACTCACTAGTTTCATACTCTGAGGTTGAAAATTGGTCCCTATTGACTCTTCTCCTCCTTTGAAATCTCCTATATATGTTACCCGATTTAAAGTCTTTGGTGTCTCTTAGAAATTTCTGATGTTTTCGTTGTTTAATGATGGATTGAAATTTTTCCAAATTATTTTGTAGTTTATTTTCATTTAAACTGAAAGTGGGGTCTGATTTGAATTGTTGTACCCTTTCCACTTCTTTTTCTACCTTATTCTCTATTTCTTTTAATTTTTTGTTTTCATATTTGCAGATTATTTCCATGAACTTTGTTGAACACTGCCCAGCTGCCTCCTCCCATTCTTTAACAAAATCTTCCTCGTCTAAATGTGAGGTAGATGTGGTTGGAACTCTCAGTCCTCTAGGTATTAAACCTTTCTTTAGATAGTTCTCCAGGGATGCTATTTCCCAGCTTGTTCTGATTTGTTGTTTATATAACTGAGTTAGAGAGTTAAAGCCTGCTGTTAGTGAATAGTTCGACTCATCAGGTGGTAAGTTAACCTCAGAAAAAAT